AAAAAAAGAAAGAAAGAAAGAAAAAAAAGAATCTCTTCTAGTATTTCTGGAAGCTTCCCGATATTGAGAGGAATCTTAGAGATGCTCTTGTTTTCATTAGAGGAATGGTTTATAGCTGCCTGGTCAGAATGGGAAGGGCTTACAAGGAAGAGTAGAATTAGGTGTGGGTGCATGAGCTTGTTAAGAAAAGTCTATACTTACAGATGAAGGAGCCATACATAATCCAGCCACATACTACGGACAGGAAAAACAAGAAGAATATGTAATAGTGATGGTTGCCAAAACCTAAACCAAAAGGAAAGAAAACATACTTAGTATTTTCTTTTTCCTGTAATGACTTCCAGATAAGAGCTTATTAACCACCTTCTTGTCAAAGGTATTCATCAGAGTAGAACAGATACAAGGCTGTTGCTTTGCTTTTAAATGATACTAAACCCAAACCAAACATATTTGATATGTCACAGTCAATTATCCATGTTAACTAATATTTATTCCTTACGTACTAAAAGAAGATATTCTGTTTGAACAGAAAAACGTTAACTAAACAAACACAGCTACAGGCGGGCCTTCTCCGCGTTGGTGGGATGGTAGGCAGAAGTATGGACAAATCACGCTGTCTGTTTCTTCTTCATGGAACAAAGGAGTATAACTTCTGATCACTGAGGACTGACTTGATCAAAGGAACAGAGGGAACAAATTCAAGGAGCCGCAACACACAGTGCACGCGCACACAAACACACACACAGAAATATAAATGCAGGAAACTGCGCATAGTAAAGGGGAGAAATTTATGCCACGCAAAAGGTTTGCAGAAGGGAAAAAAGCATCAGGCAACCAAGCCTTTTCTTGCACGTGCTGCCTTTTGCCCTTCTTGATGCTGGAGATGCTTCTCAATGCTAATGAAATGCTCTTCAGGTACCACACCGTGGCTGCATTTTCTCCTGATGTAGCAAAGCTCAGCAGGAGCAGCACCCAGCGGAACTGAGACAGGTTTACTACAGATTACTGGGCTTATTATGGGTTGTTACTTGTGTCACTGTAGGTTAAGACTTCCACTTTCTCTGGTTTAGCGTTCTTACTCATAATATGGAGATGAGGCCTCTTCTACTTCATGAGGCCTCTACCAACCAAGCAGGATAATGCGTGGGACAATACTGGTAAGTGGGCTTATTGCTGTTGTTTTCTGGTTGTCATTCAATGCCATGTATGATGCCAATTATGTAATCCTCATGGTGGGACAGGGTCCAAAAAGCTTGGGGCTCCAGGAATTACCTTGTCACCTTTCTCTAAGAAGAGTAAGGAACGGCGAAATGCACCACAGAAGACTGCCTGAGCTAAGATAGGGCAGCCTCCTGAAAACTCAATCACAGTTCCCCCGAAGTTCCTCACACCCAACCTTTGGCTTTTACTGTGATGGTCAGGGGAAACTCAGGGCTGCAGGTTAAGAAAAGGGATATTTCCTGGCCGGAAGGCAATTCCCAGATCTTTGCATCTCTGGTTCCAGCTCCTACTTGAGCTTGAGGGAAGTGAGTGGAAAAGATGACTATCATAGCCAAGTCACGACACGTGGAAAGAGCACACGTGGAGAGGAAGGCGGACACTACCACAGCAACCATAAGCCAACAGTTTTACCTTTACAACTCTGCAGCTCTAAAATGGAGACAGTAACACCAACCTCACAGGTTGATCAAGTTGGACAGTGTAGGTGTTTGGTAAAGTCTTAAATAGTACAAAAATGACAGAAATTGTCATTATCAGCTTGAATGGTTTTCCAGAAGTCTTACACCACACAGATGATTCTCAGACGAGGAAGAGAACAAATGGGACTCTTGGATGCCCTTCTGATTTCTGTGAGCCACACATAACTAAGCATATGCTGAACTTCAGGGTGGAAACTGAAAAAATTAAATTTCTCACCTACGCACCGTCCAGTCCACACACAGTGCTGGTCATACCGAGCCACGCAGGCATTGCACACATGGCAATGGAGTGACCTTAAAGGCTTCCTTATCTAAGGGGACAAATGAGAGAGAGCTAAGCAAAACTCAGTGTCTCGATGAAACAAATCAAAAGCAAGATTTCAATGCTAGGTTGTAAAGACACCAGCACAAATAACCCTACATAGATGATCATTCATACAAAGGCTCCGAAAGGTCTCATTAGAATTCACTCTGTATGCGTACTCTGATGAAACCACCATGAAGGGTGATTTGAATTTCAGAGCCTATTCACACTGGCTAAGGGGAACTGAGGCAGGAGCACAAAGCAGAACGGGCACTGGGCTAAGAAAAACAAAGCCCCAGTTCCATTTCTGGTGCCTACAATGACCTGGGAAAACTTACCTTCTCCCTTTAGGCCCTGATCCCTCAATTACCAAATAAGAGGTTGCACTAAGTGGTCATTACAAGCCTCTGATTTGAAGTCAGCTCTAATATACATGCTACATGGCAGAGAAAAGCAAACAAAACACACTATAGATAATTCATAAAGAGATTTTACCATAGGCAACTTCATAAGATTACAAATATTCTCCCATATGTCTAAGGCAGGAGATTGTTCTGACATTAATAAAAAATTAGAATTGGTTGAAACAAAACAGTGTATAAATATATCATGAAGATATGACAAATGCTTACATGAATAATATTATCAAGATTATACTTTTACTACGGAAAACAAAAAAATTACACAGAAAATACTCACAAGACATGATGTACAAAATGTTCTGAAGTCCAGGCAGCCAGTTTCTGCAAGGGTGACGATATTCTGAAAGACACAAAGTCTGACCTTATGATTGCATTTTACTGGGCAATGGATTATGCACGCTTATGTACTGTTCTCTGAGCTCTCACACCTAACTTAAGTACTAAAAAAGCAACTTGGAATACTTGCCACCAAAGCATTCTGTGCTTGAAATGAAGTGACTTTTCAAGGGTGTGTTTTCAGTCAATAGCCAATAAAGGTGACTGCATAAAAACTACATACCCCAGCACGTCCAAAACCTTTTCCTCATGAATGGAAAACACCTCCCAATTATAATCGACTAGGGAAAAAAGAATGTGTGCACACATACACTCATTAAAAAGAGAAAAATCGCCAGTATCCATCAAAACCTTTGGTTACAAGTACCAAGGGCCAAGGGCCAAGTCTTTCAGGAACATTGGCTATAGGTAAAGACAGCACTCTCTCCAATTTCTAAACATTCATGAACAAATGGAGAGTGTGTCATGCCACTTGACAACTTCACATTTGAAGAAGAGGAGTGTCTCCTTAGTCATTAAGGGAAGAAAGTCCCTTTGTCCCTGCCTAGTTGGCCTCCGTGTACTAAGTGGGGAAATTTGAGCTAAACAACTTATTTAAATATTGTTACAAGGAAGATCATACATGATAACAAAATCAAATCTAAAAGTCTCGGTGAGGCAATTACTTTATAGAAAATAAAAATATTTTAAAAACATATATACATATATATAAATGAAAGAAGCACTGAAGAAACCTCTTGCTGAGTCAATCACCTTGCACTTACGATGGCCTGCACTAGAAATGTGGCCATGGCAAACTAACATGGCTATGATTTTCTGAAGCGTACACACCCTGATTCTAAAACATACCAAAAACAAACAAAAAACACTAAAACAACAACAACAATAAAATAAAACTCACCACTTTCCTTTCTTCCTCAGAAGCCTTAGTGAAGCCAGGATCAGTTGCCCAAGTCTTGTAGAAGAAGTAGAGAAAGGCTACTATGCTGAAAAGGAAAACAAAATAGAAAGGGCTGCCTGCAATATGTGCAAGCCGGGTTAAGGAATATATCAATCTTCCACTGTGGACAGACTCAGGACACAGCACATTTTGTCACTGGTACCTAACAAGTTGTCTTCTCAGCACCCTGTCCCCAACTTCTATATGTACATATCCCCAGTGAAGTGCCTGCCAAAAGATGGCCCCATCCTCTATTCTAATCTTTTAGAATTTGCTAATTATTGGCTAATAAATAATGCTTTCTTCTTAGTTGGAACTCACATTAAATATTAATAAGAATGGTTGCAATTTATGAAGAATATCCTGAAGATTGAAAAGTATCTAACAAAATAAATTTAGCCCTAATGGTGTAAATGGATCTTCTGTCAGTGTCCAGAAAAATATTCCCTGATCATTTTAACAAAATCATCCAAGGAAACAGACCATTTGGTTCAGATATGAACTAAAAACATTTCCCTATAGAGTAGATAAATGCTTGCAAAAATTTCCTACTGGTATGTTCAATAATTCTTGTAATTGTTTTAGGCTGAGTTAATTTAAGAAACTGTTTTCCTTGCAAAATGATTGCAAATAACCTTCTATGTGGGAAAGACACATTACAGATAAATTAAGATAAAAGTGTTCCAAGAATATACTTTACTTTGCTTTGAAATGTTTTTAAAGTGGTATGAATTCTTTGCATAAAAAGCAAAATTATGCTCCAGGTAAACACAAATGAGAGTACAGTTAAAAAAAAAAATCAATAAACCAGTAGTAAACCAATAGTCCTTGCCCAATTTAAATTATTACTGACAACAGTAACTGTATCTCCCTCAAAAGCTGTGGCTAAACAATCTTGCCTCAAACTTCACAGTGGAAAGGAAGCCATGAAATAGACTCTAAACCCCTGCTATTCAAAGTGTGGTCCACCGACCTACAACAACAGCTTGTAAGAAAAACTGAACTCCAGGCCTCCCGCCAGTCCTACAGAGCTAGACTACGGATTTTAACAAGATCCCTAGGGGGCGCATCTACAAGTTTGAGCACTGCTTTACCCCACAAAGATGCATAGAGGCCCCTCTGGCTCAGATATACAGGAAGACACCTTGGTGGCTTAGTTTATCACAGTTCATCTGATGTGGGCTTAGCTTTACAAGAGACATAGGGGCCAGAGAAGTTGTGTGAAACTGAATTTTAACAAAGTTACTGAGAATGACTTAAGAAGAGCACTGTTAAAGGATACACAGGGTACAATCGTTTGCTAAAGAATCACATCATTTTTTCCCAAAAAGTCCTGATCAATACACACAACATACATATTCTCAAAAATATGTCATCATCCTGCATAGTGAGCTCACTGAATTTGGGTTTCCTGCGTGAACAGTTTATAAAACGAGTTCCAGATCACCGGGTCCTCCTTTGAACTCAAGTGGACACTTATGTACTGTCGTGCAAAAGGCAAAGCCACTCCTTGTTTTCATGCCCTTGCTTAGGTGGGTCACTGACTCAAACGCTCGCTACTGCTTCTCAAATTGGAAACCACACTTTCAGTTTGTCCAAGTCCCAAATGCCTTTCAGAATTAATCTCCTTCTCCCTCTTCTTTTAAGTCTTTCTTGCTTCTCTGGAGAGGATCCTCTCCCCTCCGTGAATCTGGGAATTATTTCTATGGGTTTTAGACCTTATTCTTTTTTTTTATTTTTTTGGTACTAGGGATCAAACTTGGGTCCTTGTGCTTGCAAGGCAAGCGGTGGAACCACTGAGCTAAATCCCCAGCCCTAGACCTTAGACTATAGTTATTTATATAGATGTGTCAGTCTCCTATAAGCTAGCAACTTTTTTGCAGTTAAAATGTCTCTGGATATGAAGCTCTAAGTTGCCTTTTTAGAACTCTGACCAGTGGTTCTCATTCACAGGATCCTTTAGATGTAACTACGACTGTCTTTTGATTTTACCCTACATAAGATTTACTCATTTATTCAACAAAATTTTTACTGCATGCCTATTCCACAAGTGCACTGACTTCCAAATGATAGATTTCCACACACTTGCAATTGGAAGGCAGTGGCCAGATCTCCAGGATAACAGCAAGACTGCTCCTCACACTTCATTCCACATTCCTCTGTGCCTGTCCATTCATTATCTCTACAAGAACAGAATTCAAAAGAGAGTAAACAGTGCACTGACCAGTGCAGAGCACAGTGAGACTGCTGTTGTCCTTTGCTTGGACCCTTGGATTCTTGTAAAACTTTTTGAGAACTCCCTGGTTTCCTTGACAGCTGAGTCATTAACCACATTGGGCATTCAGTAAAGCGCCTTTTTTTTTTTTTTTTTACAATGACTTAAAGCTATATTGTGCCTCTTTGTAATACACTTGTACAGCGGACCCTCCAAAGTGAACAGGACTTTACATGTGTTTGTCCCTCTTAAACTTAGCTCAGTGATGTAGCTTGTATCATAAATATAACATTCAGCGATTCACCCTTTTTTCTTCCCGTTTTAATCATACCTCTACGTGCATCAGTAAGGTCCTACTCTTTTTCACTCAATCTCCCTTATAAAAGCCAAACACACTGATTATTGAATATACAAAAGGCACTGAAAGAAATTCATCTGAGGAACCGACCTACAGTTGTCCTTAAAATTAGTTTCAACCTGTAACCTTCTACAGAACAGTAACTAATAATCAAACATTAAATATTATTTATAAACTGCCAGTTATGTAATGGGGATTGTAGCCAGCCCTTCAGAGATGGCACAGCATAGCAATGCTTGCAGCCACGCCATGAGCTCAGTCCAGTTAAACCCAAGCCACAGAAAAACAATGAAATGAAACAACTTGTGCAACAGTACGTAACTAGTGGAAGAAAAGTCAAGACGCAGTTATTCTATTATTCCACAGCCGTGTGCTTTCGAGGGGACCCAGACTTTCTTCCCATGACACATCAGAGGCCGTGGGATCGCAGGCCCCAACTCAGTCCTGACACGGCTAGAAATCTGAGGAAAGGCTGGTCTGAATACTCAGGGTGGGTAGCACCTCAGTTCACCATGGGCCGTTGCGACAGCTTTTACCACTCAGCTTTAGAAACTCTGATCTGACGGTGAAGGATGCTGCCACCTACTGACTCACGTGCCCTCGACAGCAGCCCGTATCAAACGGCGTTAGGCTCTTTAAGCAAAATTGACAGTGCCAACACCGTAATATTCTGTCCGCCTATGGGAATCAATTCTATGATAGAACAGCATCTTCACATAGCCCGAGTAGTTTCTAATTACACTCAATTGAACATTAAGTTTCATAACTGAAGTGTTCAGGCTACAGTGAACTTACATTTTTATCAATTTTAATTTGGCAAAACTGGACTAATTCAGTATGAAGACGATCTCACTTCTTGTGCAAAATTTGAAATAACCTATGTTGCTCAGATTTTAAAAATTCATTGAAAACACAATTTTAAAAACTGACAACTCCATTGATACCTTACAGCTTACAGCCAGATGTTCCCTCAAAACCTCACGCGCTCACAAGTGGGGCTTCTGAAAGATGAATCATGGGGCTCCATAGCTCAATGCCATGTTAGGAGTCACCCCTCCCGTATCACATCCTTTACCCTAGGAACTTAGGAGCCTTGGGTCTTCTACAGTGTTTCTGATATTGACTTTGCTGTTAGTAGATGCACTCCTTGTGCCTTATACAGTAATGTTATGTCTAACACCGTCTAGGCCTTTACTAAGTGTTGAAAAGTCTAGTGTTTGAAACACTGCTGCCAAATCAATAATTATGAGACAAAAGATCAGAAGTAATAAAATCTTTTGAAAAAAACCTAATGACTTCCCTGGTATGCTGTACTATTCATTTATAATAAAGGAATCTGAAAAATACTACAGACAATGCTCAGAAATAAAAAGGAATGTTATAACCAAAGCATTATCATGGATGCAGCGGTATTATGCTTTTTGAACACTCATGCCTGTCTCATTTCACATCTATGCCTACGGAAAAATATTCCTTGAGTTTATTCATCTCTTCAATAGACACTTCTTTTTGGAAATGTCATCATAAGAGAAACAACCCAGGAGTCAAAGCAATATGCTAACAGGTGCTTTTCTATTGACTATACTCCTTCTTCCCTCTCCGTGATAATGACTTCCAAGGCAGAGTAGCTGGAGGCAAGAAGGGAGTCTGGGAAGAGGTGAGCAGTATGTCCCCCAACTAACTGAAGACAGAAATTGCTATAATCCAAGAAGCAATCACCTTCTCCATATCTAGGTTACTGGACTTGGCCAACCTTAAGAAGAACACAGAGCCCTGGAGTGGGACTTCGACTTGGGCCCTGATCCTCAAGAGACAAACCTAGTGCTTACTTAGATATGAGAGGTTTTGCGTTTTTATTTTTAAACCATCGGCTGCCACTCATTAGGTCACAAAAGAATTAAAAAAAAAGAAAAGAAACCAGGATAAAATAAGGAAACATAAAATAAATCAAACTAAAATAAGGAAAAGAACACACTGGGAGCACTGATTTCTGAAACGGTTCCACAAGTACTTTGTGTGGCAAAGCAAATTTATGTTTGCTGGTCCTGCCACTTGTTTCCCCATCCAGCGCTCCTCTTGCAGGCCATCTCCAGTCCACCTATAACTGCGACCTAGTTAAAAGAGCATTTGACCTTGATGAGATCTCAAAACAGTCCAACATATTATTATGGGTCCAAGTAAAACAATCATTCGTTTTACTGTTTCCTCTGATTAGTAATATATGCTAGATCCCTACTGTTTCCATAGTGTGCTGAAATTACTTCCAGAATCAAGCAGATTTTCAACATTAAACAATACCAAAACCACTAAATGAATGCAGATGTAAGTTGTGTCCCTTAGATCTTTTCCAACATCTAAACATTAAATGATGTTTTTCAAAGGTAAGATGAGATATATGCACCTAAGTTCAATTTAAAGGATATCAGGAAAAAATAATATGAACCAAGTCATAAATATCCAAAATATGGAACTTAGTAGAAAGACTGTGGGTATGTATACAAGGTTCTTATATCCAACCAAGAACCTAAAAGAAAAAGGATAGGAACAGGGTATTAGTGAAATAAGGTATTGGTGTGACTCGTTTAATCTCAGTTCAAAGTCCTCCTACAGAACAATGATATCAATAATAATGATGATAATGGTAATCGCAGCAACAGCAATAGCTTTTGCTTCCTGAGCACTCACTGTGTGTTACTTTCATTATAACCACATTTTTCACATAAGAAAGCTGAAATACAGTGGTGCTCAAGGAACTGTTATTTTATTCACAACAGTGTATATTTTCAATGAGTCTTCTCTATTTCTATTGAGGCACATCATTCTGTAGCTCCTTTCTGCATAGCACATTTTTAAACATTCTTAAATACAAAAATTTAAATCCTTGGGAGATTCACTTTCACAGTTTTACAAGCTTTTCCCAGAGATTAGTTATATGTTTATGCATATACATAACTTAAGCACTTTCATCCTGTAATAAACCCAAGAAGCAGAAACGATATAAGAAAAGAAACAAATGCTAACAGTGAAACTAGTTTCACAATACTAACGATGAACTCACTAGGGCCACAAGCAACTCAAAATATTTTAATACTGTAATTTCAAAGTTCAAAACATTTTTCACACCAAACAATATAGTCACCTTAGAACGAGTATAGTTTATCTGTATATACTGTAAAATTTATACCAGAAAACACAATGCTTGAGAGAATGAAGGATTTGTAAAAAGCTATTGGGACCACAACCATAACGAGTACAAAATCACATTTGGGAAGAACTAGAGTCTAACTTCTGGCGCTCATGCTGCCAGAACGGGCCAAATGGAGTCCATGCAAACTCCAGGATACGGCCTAGGACCTTGTGGTAAAAACCATATTTGGCCTTATTAGGTACATGTAGTTCACTGAATATCTAATTTGTAAGTATCTACTGCTTCCACCTGACCACTTCTGGCAGGCATCATACATAGCAAGCTAGAACAATAAACAACTGCCCCAAGTTTCCAGCTGCTCTGCACCATAAAAGTGAGGCTCTTCAGAGGAGCGTGAGGGAAATCAGGCAGCGTGAAAGAGTGACAAATGCATCTGACTCCCTTTGAATCGTGCCTGTGGCGAGCACACCACAAGAAGCCTGTTGCTAGCTGTCTTCAAAACTAAAATCCAAACTTTTCCTCTAATTTTCTATATAGCTTGGGTTTGAACTAAAATGATCAAACAAAATCTCTAGTTGAGTAGGTATTGCCAACCCTTGCTTTCTCTCTGAAAAAAGTGCAACTCCTGGTGATGCTGCTTAAAATTTATTTAGAAACCAAGTCAATTCAACTAGTGGGAAATGATTTGTGGCATTGTTTTGAGACAGGAAGGGGGCTCGCTAGGTTCCAAGCTGACTTCACACTTGCTATGGAGACCAGGCCAACCCTGAACTTGTAATCATTCCGCCTCACACTTCCAAGTGCTGGGACTATGGGCTTGCACGCTTGCCTGTTATGCACGCTCACTCAAAATGAATACTTTTAAATTACAAGTTCTCTGAATAACAGACATTTTTAGATATATTGCTATTTTCAGAAATGTGAGCTTTTACTTTACATTTAAATATGAATTTGGTTTCCTCCAACTATGCAGGTCTTAGATGAGCAAATAATCAGATTCCTGTAATACTTTGTTTTCCCTTATGAGCAAAGTGGTCTGTGTCTACTCCAGAAAAGGCTGACAGGCAAAAGAAGGATTTAGGGATACTCGGAATAGTTATAATCACACCCTCCAGGAGCAACACTGTATTTCCTTTCAGATTCTTTCTATGGGTCTTCATTGTTAAAAAGTTTTTTTTTCCTTCAGTGAATGAAAGTGTTGTACAGCAGAGGTAAGTCTCTTGCTTTTCTGGGCCGCACAGTGCTGGAAAGTAAGGGCTGTGAAGACAAATAAAGTAGTAGTGCAGTAGAATCAATTGGGGAAGGCTTCCTGGGGAGGTGAGATTTGAACCGAGGCCTGTGCTGCATCTCCAGCTATGCAAAGACACAATGTCAGGCAAGGACAGTCCCAGCAGTGAAGGAGCCAGGTAGGTGTGAACTTGATATGTTCTAAGACTAGAAGGAAGGTGAGAGCAGCCTGGGGATGAAGGAGAAGGAATAAAGTCAGTAAGTAAGTAGGGAGGAGATGAGTGACGAAAATACCTCACAGGCACAGGGTCTGGGTTTCATACTGAGTACGAGGGCAGGCTACTGCGGGGGGAAGCAGGGAGAAGACAGAAACTTGTCTGCCTTGATTGCTAAGGGCGGTAAACTGCGGGAGTGAAGTCCGGAGAGGAGTGTGGAGCCCGGGGGAGGGGTACGTGTGGAGATGGAGAGAGGTGGACCAACTGAGGCAGAAGAGGACGCGCTTCCACTGGGTGAGGAGTGGGAAGAGAGAAGGAAGAATCAAGGGCGATGACACCCTTACTCTTGCGAGGAGGAACTGGCTGTCACTTCACTGATGTAGGGAAGCAGAAGAGCTTGGGTGTGACACAGTTGCTGTGTCAGCCAGTGTTCCGAACATTTATGGGCATCAAGCGTAAGGCAGGAATGATTGCAATAGCTCTCCCTGTTTACAGACGAAGAAACCCAGGCAAGGAAAGCAGCTTGCTCAAGATCAGATGGCAGCATGTTCAAACCCAGGCAATCTGGCCCCTAACTATTAACTATATATAACTACGGGAATTATTTTCCTAAAAATAGGACCTTACCATATCTAGTATTTCCCAGCTTCCTCCATTTTAATTAGGTCATTTTAATTAAAATCACTGAGAGCAGCAAGACACTGTGGTACACACCTGTAATCTCAGTACTCTGGGAGAAGGAGGCAGAAGGATTACATATTCAAGCCCAGCCAGGGTAACACAGTGAACCCAGTCTCAAAATGAAAAATAAAAGGGCTGGGGATGCGGTTGATGTAAAGTCCCTAAGTTCCATCCCCGGTAGTAGGGGGAAAATCAGTAAGAGCAAAAATAACTGGCTCAAAATGAATTTAGATCTTAAGAAAACAAAAAATTTCTGAAAAATGGGCAACAATGCTTAAACATGTACAGCGGTTACAAAGATGTTTTCATTATTCAACAAAACAATTCAAACAGTGACCCAGGATACTGTTTTTCTACTAGTTGTCAATTCAAGCAAATTACTGAGTTGAGCAATTTGCTTTCCATCAAAAAAAATGCTACCAAAGCCCTTTTCTCCCCACCCTGTGGATGTTGTTATGTGGTTCAGTAATATTTATAGACTGATAAAAATCTGTAATTCCAGCTAATCAACAACAGAAATAAGCAATTACATTGGCAAGGCAAAAACCCACCTTGCAAAGTTAATATACACACCTTGGAAACAAAGATGCCAGAAAAAACAATGTTACTAGAAGACATCCTTTTAAAAGCCAAGAATCTGAATTGAAGTCCAGTATGTATCCAACAGCCCACATGGTAATCACAGCGAGTATCAGCAGCAGGAAGAGCTTTTAAGAGATTCGGAATTTTAGAACTTAATGAGTTTTCACCTAAGTATGTAATGATAATTAATTGAGTTCAAGAACTATTTCTTTAGTAAATAATAACAACACAACAGCATAATTAAGTTTTTCTTCATATTTCATAAAATGTTGCTTAAACATATTGTATTTTGCTATTCTTCCCTGAAAAACTGCGATCTTTTATAGTTAGTAAAAACTAAAATTTTAAAAAATAATTTTTTACTCTGATGTGAATAAACTATAATAGTACATAAGATCCTAATGAGATAATTGACAATGTGAAATAGGAAGAAAAGGGCTAAAGGTGTAGGGAAAGTGGGAAGGGTAGGGGAAAGGTAACAGGGAAAGGAAAAAAATAGGAGAAAATGAAAAAGTGGAAATAAAATGTTTGTAAATGGGGAGGGGAGGAGGGGATGAAGGGAGGGCAGGGACAAGGGGAAAAAATGAGAACCAAGACCCGTCTTGGAAAGGCACAAGATCCCAATAATGACTGTAACTGTACCGTATACCTAAAATGTATCAATAAACTCAATGAGGAAAAAAAATAATGTTTTAAAAATGACATTCTATATCAGACAGCACCAAGCAAGCTAAGGAGACTGCACAAAAATCAATGTACCCAAGGCCAGGGATTTGGCTCAGTGGCACAGTGCCTGCCTTGTAAGTTCAAGGTTCTGAGTTTGATTCCCCGCCTCAAAAAAAAAAAAAAAAAAAAAAAAAAATCTCAATATACCCAAGACCGAATGCAGGGAATAAAAGAGCCCCAACCTAGGTACCAGATGGTGCCACTCCTCAATAAAGAAGTCTAGGAGGAAAAATTATGCAAAACATATAGCTTGGCTTGGGGTATGTAGACTTTTAAATCCTTCAGGACATCCAGGATTCAGTTAAGAGAGAAAGTCTACCTTTTGCAAAGATGAGATTTATCAGAACACTGGTTGTGAAATCATGAGTGAACAACATCCTACAGATATGTGTAGTAGAAAAGGCAGGATCTTGGCTAACACAAATTTTCAACATTAGGAACAAAGCTTAGTCTTCAAAGGTAACCAGAAAGAAAGGCAGGAGGAGAATCTAGGTAAAGATGGGTTTCAAGAGAAGCCAAGAAAGAGTTTTAAGCAGGGGAGTGGCTTTTGGTGCCAAATATCCCACAGAAGTCAAAGACTGAAATGTTGTTGGGATTCTAATAATTCGTAATTCATGTTTCTTTCTTTCTTTCTTTTTTTTTTTGTGGTACTGGGGATTGAACTTGGGTCCTTGTGCTTGCAAGGCAGGGGGTGGAATCACTGAACTAAATCCCCAGCCTGAATGAAAGTTCTCTTAACCAACAGTGTGTCTGCATGGAAGCTATCTATGTTCCACACTTGTGCAATGCAGTCCCTTAACCATGAGATATGAAGCCTTGAAAACAAGCAGGACTTTTACAATAGCAGAGAAGAAAAACATGTATTTTGCCCTAAATTCTTCCATTTTTGTTTCACTACTGTTACTTAAATCTTATTAGTCATTTATAATAACAAGTTGAATTTCCTATTTTTTTCTATTATTCAGTTCACTTTAAAGTTCAGAACATTCTTCAGGGGAATTGCTAAGTTCAAAAGTGGAGAGAATTTGGATTTCACCTCTCAAAATTCCAGATGTTTTATTTTATGAAGTGATGTAATAAGCCTGAAGTTTCAACATCGTTTAAAAAAATGTAACTCTTTACGGTTTGAAGAAAACATTTTGAATGTTATTTTCCTTTTGAGAACAAAATTTAATAAGGAAAAACTTCTATAAGAAAGGCTTTTATAAAATGTTTTGCAACAATGTTTTTCAGTTTGCTTCTCCCAGAATCGAAATGGAAATTTGCATTTCCATTCATTCATTAAATAAATGTGGAAGTACACTGTAATATTCTCAAGGTAACATAATTTTACAGCCATCATCTAGATGAGAACAGCACTAAACGCAAATGATATTCTACCTTTCCAAATTTGGGTTGTGAGGGGCATAAGAAAAATACAGTTGGCAGATACAATGCACCACAAAGGTAAGCTCTGATTTCCCTTAAAAATCAAGACAAATGAACCAAAAATTCCAATATCCCATGGAACAGGCCCCATATGAAAATACCTCGCATTTCTGCAGCCACCTCCAAAGTTTGAACTTTTGGTTGGCTCTCGTTTTGGCTTCTGTTTTTAGCATGTGAATAATGAGCTGATTTTTGTTGTGCAGAGCCATTTCAAGAGGAGTTTCTCCCTTAAAAAGAAAAGTTCGATTATATTGTTGATATATTAGGGGTGTTATATTGTTGATATGTTAGGAGTGTTGGATATTTTTCTCCAGAGTCAGACTCAACCCATTTATTCTAAAGACAGCTATTGATTACTGTTTATATCTAATTTGTTAAAATCAAAACAAATATATTGCCTGTTTTTTTTTTTCCCAGTGCTTCATGCATGCTAGGCAAGTTTTCCACCGAGCTGCACCTCCTATTTTACACAGCTCAACTTCACATTAAATTGTGAATCCTCCAAGTGAAGATGGAATAAAATAAAGGAGATAACTACCTGGCCATACCTTAACATTCCGGATATCCAAGCTAGCACCAGCTTCCAAAAGTTTATCAACTGCATTAACATTTCCTGATGCAACTGCCCAGTGGAGTGGAGTGTTTTGGTGTATTTTATCAACAATGTTGAGAGAAGGGTTAAACTTTAAAAGAAATCCAGTTGGTTCTGGCCTGTCTCAAAATAAAAACAAAAACAAAAACAAAACCCAGAGGCATTAACAGAGATGAAGATTTGAGGAGTAAATATAACTAATGCATATTCTAAACACATGAATCACTTAATCAATAAAGTATCCCAAACAATGAAGGCATTTCTTAGTGAAGAATTCTACTCTAGGAAAAAAAGAGACCTATTAAATAACAGTCTGATATAAATATAATTTAGACATTAATACAGAAGACTAAGAAAAAACTTTTACTTTCATGTTACTCTTGGTTAACATTATTTTTTTTGGTACCGGGTATTGAACTTGGGTCTTTGCGCTTGCAAGGCAGGCCACTGAACCGCTCAGTTAAATCCCTGGCCCTCTTGGTTAACATTTTTAAAATTAAAATTTTTAAAAAAATTTAACTTTGGCTTATATTAAATACTATACTATTTACTCAGTTAACAACTAAATATACAATGTTATATTTCAGCAGCTGAGCCAAAAGCTAACTTTCTATTCTATCTTCAATTGATTATTAAATAAAGCAAAGTACAAATACAGGTTGAGTAGCCTTTATCCAAAACACTTGGGACCAGACATGTTTCTGATTTTAGATTTTTTAAAATATCTGCACATACATAATGAGATATTTTGGGGAATAGATGCCAAGTCTAAACATGAAATCCATTTATGATTCATGTTCACCTTATAACATAGCCTGAAGTTCTATTTTTAATAATCTTGTGCAAAAAAAACCTTGTAGCATCCTAAAATACCTGTACATATTAGAAAGCTATGGACTAGAGGACAGAATTTAATAAAATATGTTCCCTTTCTGATCATATCTTCCCTTCTTTCATGACTACTTAAAAGATTCTTTCAATAAAAACAAAATTCTACTTCAATTACTCTGTTAAGAACTTAATATACCTTAAAGGTGTAGAGAAAGTGGGAAGGGTAGGGGAAAGGGAACAAGGGAAGAGAAAAAAATATGAAAAAATGAAAAAATGGAAATAAAGTTTGTAAATAGGGAGGGGAGGAGGGGGTGAAGGGAGGGCAGGGACAAGGGGAAAAAATGAGAACCAAGACCTATCATGTGAAGGTACAGGATCCCAGTAATATATGTAACTGTATTGTATACCTAGATTGAACCAATGAACTCAATAAAAAGAAAAAAAAAAAAAAAAGAACTTAATATACCTGACTTCAGAGAACCAAAGACAAAATGCTTTCTAACAGATTTTACCCTTAGCACTACGCCTCTATGATAAAGGGAAACGGCATTAAAATGAACCCTGTTCCTAGAAGTTGCATGGAACAGAAGCGACTCAGTACAAAGGTGGAAATAAACCAACCTGACAGGAAAAGCTGCAGCCTGCACTTGCACAGATGAATACCAGATACTGGATTATCTGATTGTCATCTAGTACGTAAGCTTATACATCATGCAGAAAACTTAAATATGTATCAAGGATCCGTAATGAATGTAACTGTATTGTATACCTAGATTAAACCAATGAACTCAATAAAAAGAAAAAAAAAAAAAAAGAACTTAATATACCTGACTTCAGAGAACCAAAGACAAAATGCTTTCTAACAGATTTTACCCTTAGCACTACGCCTCTATGATAAAGGGAAACGGCATTAAAATGAACCCTGTTCCTAGAAGTTGCATGGAACAGAAGCGACTCAGTACAAAGGTGGAAATAAACCAACCTGACAGGAAAAGCTGCAGCCTGCACTTGCACAGATGAATACCAGATACTGGATTATCTGATTGTCATCTAGTACGTAAGCTTATACATCATGCAGAAAACTTAAATATGTGTCTGATATAAACACGGGAAGTTTTCACCAACCAGTTACAATTGCCTTCAGAGCAATCGACAATAATGTCAGATTGTCTGAAATATTATTGTCTTTGGGAAACCTATTTGCCATCTAGATTTCAAATTATGAGGACATTTAAGCTTGTAGCTATCTTTTTAAAATGCAAAAAGAGAAATATCAGACATGTTAACAAATGTATGCTAGGGCATCTCACCCTGTTCTGAAAGGAAACTTTTTATTAGTATTAAGAAACAAAAATCAAATTGAGGCAATTCAATTAAACTCACCCAATTACTTTGGAAGCAGATAACATGAGAGGTGTCTGCCCATTTACATCTGTCATATTCACACTCTATTTAAAAAACAAGCAACACAAAAAAATCAATAGTCTCTTCCTTAATAGAAATATGCTTTAAACACAGTTTATCTTACTGTGGTTTATACATAAGGGTTCAAATAACACCTAAATAAATAATGTTTTGCTTTGTTTTCATATGGCAAAAACCTAGGGATTTCTACAAAACATTTCTGAAGGAAATCTGAATATATGATATAAAGTGCTATATAATTTGAATGAAGGACAGGGTAAAAAACAAAATGTTAATAGCTATCATTATATATGAGATGTAGAGACCTTCAAAATCATCTAGCTTATATCTTAATAAATACAGTAATTCATGCTATTATTTTTTATGCAAAGTCATCCAGTCTCTGCCTAAACACTTCCAGTAACGAACTCCCTCCCTGTCTTCCGAGGCGGATCGCATTTCTGGACTTAGTATACTAAATTTCAAAGAGTCAAACATGAAAAATTCTTTTCTATTTCCTGGAATAGAGACTGAAAAGAAAATCCTCTTCATAAGGATGTGCTCCTCTTACAAAGCAGGTCCTGGTTTCAGGTGTCAATGGCTCCAACTGAGCCAAAGAAATGAGGGACAGTTAACTGAAGATTCTTCAGGGCTTTGGAGGAAGAGAACTTGGGAAAGAGCCCAAGGAGAAGCAGAAAGGACTTCTTCTTTTACGTCTTTCTGAAATGAAGCCCAGGGGCTTATATTTATTCTACTGTAGTTGGCTGACTCCGAGAGGAAGCGCTTATTTAAAGGGAGCACAGTCTTTCCAACAACATTGGACAAGCACGGTTCCATGCCCGTTTCAAGCACAACTGCTAATACACGAACTACTCCGTCAGCAGAGTGTTCCAGGTAAGAAAGGCTGACAGGGAAACTCGCACTGTTCACAACCATCATTTACCCTCCGCCTCTCAAGGCAAGTCGTGTTCCATGGAATGACTCTGAGAACAGTAAGCGCACATTCAAACTGACCCCGGTTTGAGCTCATTTGAGCTCGAACAATGAAAGCAATTGAATGGGTTAATTCAGGGATCATTAACCATTTCTACTGTCAACCAGAGGAAAAATATAGGCTTTAAAGTCATGTTTTTACAAAACAAAAACAAACAAAGGAAAACTCTGCAAATTGCCAGGCTCATAAGGAAAACTATGACACATACACATTTCAGACATCTATTACATGTTGCTGAGCTAAATATCCTGTCCCTCTCCTTCCAGTGAAGCTGAAAATGCATATTTAATGGCTACATTCACCGACGCTAATGTGTGACCATCTGGATTTCCATTCAGTTTCACCTTCAAAAGGAGGGTAGAATACAACTGCAACGGTCCTAATCTCTGCAGCTCATGTGGAGTATGAGAAGCACTGCAACACGTACCTGTCCCTTTGAGATGAGATAGGCTATAAGAGGCATACGCTGAAATAATACTGCCAGGTGAATGCTGCTGAATCCCTCTCCATCAATGAGAGTGGGGTCTGCACCATGCTGGAGTAACAGTATAACCATCGGTAAGTGCCCCTGTCTGTAAACACAAGATCAAAATCATGCTGTATCCTGTAGAAACAGAATGCATGGAGAAAAATGAAAGAAATTCTGGGAAACAACTGATATCCCTAAGACATGAGGGATTTTTAGTTAGACGCATTAAACATTTCCTAACAGTAAGATTTTAAAAACACTGGAAATTGTACAAATGTCTTGATTTAAGGTGCTCCAAGCTTAAAACGATATGGATGGGAGGGCAGGGACAAGGGGAAAAATGAGAATCAAGACCTATTATGTAAAGCTACAGAATCCCAATGATGAATGTAACTGTATTGTATACCTAGATTGTACCAATAAACTCAATTAAAAAAAAAAAAAACGATATGGATGGTCCTTGAGGGTGAGTGATAAACTTGATAACCTTCCAACCTAATTTGAACCTTATGTTGCTACCATGTATTAGTAGTAGTTTTATATGACTTAATGCTAACAATGAAAATCTTTACACATCCTAGACTACACTGCTGCTATTTTTTTTTCAACTTTAATTAAGTTTATTGGTACATTTTAGGGATACAGTACAGTTACATTTATTGTTGGGATCTTGTACCTCTACATGACAAGTCTTGGTTCTCATTTTTTCCCCTTGTCCCTGGCTCTCCCTTCTCCCCCTCCTCCCCTCCCCATCTACAATCACTATTTCCATCTTTTCATTATCTCACATTTTTTTCTTTTCCCTTATTACCCTTCCCCTACCCATCCCACCTTCCCTACACCTTTTGCTCCTTTCTTCCCATTTCTAAATGTCAGTAGTCTTATTAGGATCTTCTGTATTATTGCAGATTATTCACACCAGAGAAACTACTGCTGCTATTTTCAAAATAAAAATTATCATTAGCCAGATACATGTAACTATAATAGTCACAGACCGTGGGTACACTGTGATAATCCTAAGAACCATATATTCTTTCCCTTGAAAATAGCTCATTTTCATGTACAGCACTGTAGTTCAGCAGCTTAAAGGGGATATGTTACCCCTCGGTTCCTCAAGACTCTGTCTATGGAGAAAAGATTCAACTCCTTGCCTTACACAATACACACTTTTAGTTTCAGGTTCATGTCAACCTCATCACCAATGAGTGGAATTAAAATAACAGAAGAAGCTGTTAAATATCCATGTTTATTCCTTTAGCTTCAGAAGGCCAATACACATAAGAAAACAGGGTAGTGACTAAGCAATATAAATGTTCTAAGAAGCTGGACTACTCAAAATTTCTTTTTACTCCTGTGTCAGCTTTCAAGAGTTAACTGACAGAAAGATATTCTTTAGACTTTAAACTTTTGAGAGGAAAGCTCTCTTTAAAATATAACTGCAACTACAGGATATGACTGAATGACACAGTGAATGTTTAAATTTTTTAAAAAATTTATTACAGTAAAAGACACACTGCCAAGAATGATGGGATAAGTTGGGTTGGGGATGTAGCTCAGCAGTTCCACCGCCTGCCTTACAAGCGCGAGGTCCTGAGTTCCATCCCTGGTCCCCCCGCGAAAAAGAATGATGAGATAATTTTGTGAGTTACCAAATGTGCATCTGTCATAAGACTGAACTGTCTGAGTTTATAGTTCACTCAATTATTTATTCATGTGTCCAAATATAAAAGTTGCTTATTCTACTTATAAAAAGTACAATACTCATATTTGAAATGGAGCCCTGAATTAAAACACCAAAAAACATCCTTTCTGGAAACTCTTTAAAAAAGTTATTATTACTGCTATTTTCTTTTTAACAAAGTGGGGGAGAGAAACCAGAAAACTTTCAAATTGCCTGTAACCAGTTTACAGTACGATATCCTCCAATCACACAGGTTATTTAATTTCAGCACATAAAGAAACCTTACCGTATGGCCCAGTGAAGAGGAGTTGAATTTAAATCTCCACCTAACTGATCTACAACAGCACCTTTTGAAATATAAAACCTGTTGAAATAGACACAAATGAAGATGAGATCTGTAACTTAAAATTCATATTGAGATAAAGTATATTATTTTTTTCTTAGTAATAACTGTGTTCGAAAACAGGTTATAATAATCATCTCCATAAAGGATCTAGATCTGTAAGTCTCCAAAATGTATACAGCAGTATCAGACAAATCCCTGGTGAAACATTCTTAGCTTGTAAGTAATGATTCCTGCTGTAATTAGCATTCCATTATAACTCTCCTCTCAAACACATAATAACTACTCTCTGGCAATTCTAACTACCACGACACTCTTGAAATACTACGAAGGATGTAGGGTCAGATATTCTGCTTACTCAGAAAGAGAAATGTGAAACTATGTCACCTAAGAGTTCAGAACCAAGTGGAGACACTCCAAAAGTGATAAAAAATTAACTTCAAAATCCTCTCGTAAAAGTTAGACATTTTAAATGTTAGGAGCAGATATGATGTGCCACGTGAGGTGGACCTGTAATGTTGTACGTGACTCTCTTCTGTGGTTTGGGGGGGTATTTCATAGTTATGCTTCATGCAGCAAATTACCTACACAACGGACCTGGAATTTGCCTGAGCATAAAGTGTGCTAGAATGTTGTAAAACTCACTGAACTTTCTTTTTTTAAGCCTCAAGAATGTTAAATACATAATTCTATAATATATCTACTTACATACACAATGCACATCTTAAATGTTAAAGCATAAAACAAAAAAATTAGCAGGCAGTAGGGTTTTATGAAGGGGAAATATCTTTAAAAACCTGATACTTGCCCACCTAAAAGTGTTATTACATACTTAATATTTTTAAAAAAAGGTTTAATTTCCTACATATCTATTCCTCTAAAGTAGAGGAAACTTTCCTCTATCCTGAGAAAGTTTGTTATGTTATGCTTTCCCCTTTTCTAAATGTGTCCACTTTCAGGTCCTAACCTTTATCTTTATGATGGGGGCCCTTGGCTTCTTCTAGTCTTTCTTTCTGGACCAATAAGAGTCCTGGATTGGAGAATCTCTAAATCCCTCTTCTCTATAACCGACTGGGCAGAAGATTTCAGGTGTTCATTAAAAACAGAGGATTGCAGATGCTTCGATAGTGGTACCTGAGGCAGAGGTCCAGAATTACAAATATGCAATTAACACACATACATCCCATCTTACTTTACAAGATCCAGCCTGTTGTTAATAGCAGCCCAATGAAGAAGTGACACGTTTTCTTTGTCTGGTTGTCTGACGTCATATCCTGCTTCTACCAACTCTTTACATCGTTCAAAAATGCCGTATCTTAAATAAGAAAAAGGCATACAAATCATTTCAAATACAGTACCAACATTTCTTCCTTTTACTACATATTTTCTTTATCTGAACTATTGTTCTGACACTATAAAATATAATATTGTCTCTCAATAGCCACAGAAGGTTGGATCCTAGATCCCTTGTAGGTACCAAAATCCATGGATATTTGAGTCCCTTGTATAAAATGTAGTATTCTATAAAACTAGGCACACCCTCTCTGGTTTACTCATAATGCCTCATACACTGTAAATGCTAAGTAGACAGTTATACAATATAGTTTACAGAGTAATGGCAAAATACTGAAAGTCTGCATACAGTGATTAAAGGCACAATTTTTTTCGAGAATATTTTTAACCCAACGTTGGTTGGAACAGTAGTTGGTCAAATCTGAGATAAAGAACCCATAAATACACAGGGTTGACTATAATTAACAAAGACGTGTACAAATGTAAAACTTAAGCAGCATAAGCAAACTTTGTTTATTTACCGACCCGATCAGTTCATTTGGAACTGAAATTTTGATTTTCTTAAACTATAATACATTTGCTAACTTTCAGGAAGTTTGACTTAATTTTCACTATGCACCAGGAACACATGGTGGTGATTCCTGACTACAACATACTGAGTCAAGCCAAGCCTGTACAGTAACCTCCCAATGTGGGAGGAGATGGATAAACTGAAAGCGAAATACAGACACGATACAGGTCTAGCAGAGGAAGGAATGATGGGCCCTTCTTGGAGGAGAAGAAACACGATGTCTAAGCTACATGTTCCAGGCTGACACAAGGGAAGGGGGAAGAGGACAAAAACCGCGATGCGAAGTATTGCAAAGATGTAAGAGGAATAGAATGGCGTAAGCTCAAGCATGAAGCATTAGAGCGGGAAGGAAGGGCAAGACGTGAAGACATACGAGGTAGATGACCACTCTAGGAGCCTCTAGACCCTCTGTGAAGTTTAAACTTCATGCCCTGCTCCACAGGAAACCAATCGGGAGCCTAAAAGAGGAAAGTGCGCTTTGAGTTTTAGGAAGGATCATGTTAGTGGCAGAATGGAAGCTGCTTAAACAGGGCGACAACTGGGAGCAAGAGTAGCTTGGAAGCCACAGCAACGTTTCTTCTCAACAGATCTTTGAACAGTCCTCTGCAACTGATTTCTATCTATACAGACCTAAAAGTTTCAAGGAGCCCTCAAGGGTCAAAAATGAAACCAAAGGCAGAATTGACTCCCATCCCACACTATTATTATTAGAATAATGTATATTTACTAAAGTGTGTATGTGTGTGTGTGTGTGTGTGTGTGTGAGAGAGAGAGAGAGAGAGAGAGATTTTGGCATTTTTTCAAAGGAAGAGATACCTGTTTGACAATACTAAACAAAAATATTGGTAAGAATAAATTTTTGATGATGACATAGCAGATATTTATATTCTACATCTTTCACACATCAAATTTAATGCTTTCTAGAAAACGAACACTCTTTTTCTGAGAAATATAACAGCACACATTAATTAGGACTTTGGTGGCTTAGAAAACACACACACAAATTCCAGCCCTCTTTTGGCCTTGACAACGCTGGTGAAAGTCTGAGATCTGTGGGAAATTTTAAGAGAAATGCGAGTTTGTACTGACATTCCTTGTGAAGTCAGCCTAATGTCTCACATTTATCATAACAGAGTTTTACTTATAACAGAAACATTTAAACGTTTCCATTCTAATTAAAGCAAATATCGATACCAGAACAGTTTTGTTTTCAGGTAACAACAGAAATGATATCAAACAATATTCACCCAAAGTAGTGGTCCTCAGGGCCTGTGAAGTTTATGGAAATTGTTAAGAACACTGAAATAATTGTCAATATATTTTAAACAAATGTAAATAATACTCAGGTTTTAAGCCACAAAGGCTAATGCATCACCAAGTATCTTTGCCTTTGATGGAAATCTTGCAGGGCAGTGCTAGTTCCTTTTGTGCTGATTAAATAGGCATGAACATTTGGTGGGAAATCTGATGGGTAAATTTACACTGAACTACCAAAAAAGATTTCTACCTACTACTTAATCTGACAGACAAAACATTTCAAAATATGTTCAATGGCAAGAGGTGAAATAGCTGCTGACAATTAGCAAGATATGACAATGTAAAAAAATGGCTAGATGCAAATCTCACATATGGCAACGTTAAGGAGAAACTAAAAATGTATTTTGGTTTTTTTAGTGCAAGCAAAACAAACCCACTACATATTTCAAGTGGTCAGAGAACATATTTCTACCTACTACTTTCCTTCCAGAGTACTCAGCACAGCAAGACCTGAGGAAGTACTCAATAAACAATTACTTAAAAATCCATAAATTTGTGAGCTGCTATTTTTCCATCCTATCTATGTAATTGTACTACATTTTAAGATAAAATTCAGAGTTCAGTGTCATTCTAAATCATTTATTCATTTAACAAACATTTACTGGGCATCTAATGGAAGAAAGAAACTGCAAAAGTCCTGGGGCTGCAAAGGCAATGGAGATAAGCTTTTGCTAAGAAGCTGCCCACAATCTAAGAGGAGAGCCTGGTACAAACGCAGCTAAGGTACACTGTGCTACTGAACTACCAAAATGAAGTGAGGAAGATGCGGCGAATGCCACACATATTGTAACTCATCAGAAAACAAAGCGTCCAGAAGACTTACTGAGTGGCTTTGACAATGTCACAGTGAGTAGAGTCCTCTATAAGAGGAAGAACTTCTCTTGCCTTGGCAAGCTCTTTGTTTTCATGTGCACAGACGCCATGCCGACCGAATCCCGGAGGGTGGGGGCCATGGCTGTGATTCCTGCACTGAAGAGGAAGAACAAATTAACTCAGCACAGCGGAGAATTAATGTCATGTTCAGTTACATCATGAAGCGTTAGCGACTATCATTATCTACAGTAATAAAGATTATCCTTATCTTAACTCTGATTGTGAGAAAACATAACATTAGAAAAATCCAAATTACACACTTTGTCATAAAACACAGGTTAGCTAAAAGCACAAGTGGACCTTGTTACTTGCAGTGAGTAGAAGATTGACGACGCTAGGCCGCCACCTTGGAAGGCTGTGGTGCACACACACACACACACCTCAGCACACCCACCTCCCAAGCTTGTATGGTCCCTTCCCTTTCAGTACGGGCTCCCCTTCCTGCTTCCAGCCAGCGGCACAACTCCAGTCTAACGACTTGCTCCAGCCACCAGGGAAATCTCCCTCACGGGATAGGATCCAGGTAGATGTCTTAGCAGAATCCACTGCTAGTCTTGAAAAAGTAAACTGACGAGATGTGCGAGGGTTTGTGAGAGGAGGGTCACAGGGCAAGAACTGTGGGCAGCCTCAGGAGTGAGAGGCCCATATCACAGAAAACAGAGCGCTCGATCGATCACCCATCCATCAAGCACTGACGGCCAATAACCGCGGGAGCTCGAAGAGGACCCTGGGCTACAAATGTGTCACGGCTCAGCCTGGACATCAGCCTGTGGGACGCTGAGTTGGGGGGTCAGCCAGGCAGAGCTTGGCCTCCTAGCAAACAATCTGTGGGACCACGGATGCTTCAGCTGGTAAAGTGTGGCGATTCCTTACACGGCAGTAGGTATCTCACATAGGCACGGCTGGCAAGGCTGTGAACAGTGTCACTCGGTCAGTGTTATAGTCAGACAATCTATTAGAGGCAGGACCAGCAAGTAAACTAAAATTGTTTTCTTTCTTTTCCTTCCTTTCTTCCTTCCTTTTTGTACTAGAGATCAAACTCAGGACCTTGTGCTTATGAGGCAGACGGCAGAACCACTGAGCTAAATCCTCAGCTAAAATTGTTTTCTTTAAACAAAGCCTTAGATTTAATAGTCTTAGGATCACTTCTAATCTCAAAAACTGAGTTTAGATCTTAGCGGAAACCCAAAACAGAATTCTCTAACTAGTTTTATGAAAAGCCAATGAAAATCTTAATTTGTTCTGTGGATTAGGTATATAGTTTGGTTTTCCTTTCTACTGTGATGGCTTTTTGGGTCATCACCACCTACTGAGCAGATGTTGTAACAACACAGAGGGCAGAATTAGCAGAGGGAAAATAAAACACCAAACAGCCATTGTAACTATGCACAAATAACTGAAAAAATAAAACAAAACAAAATGAGCATAGAAAGTGAGGAAGATATAACAAAAGCTCTGGTTAGACCATCTGAAAAACAATTTCTGAAGCAAAAATTATAGCAGAGATTAACAGAATATTAGATACCATGGAACAAAAGATCACTGAATTTGAACACAAGACTTCAAAACATAGCATAGAAGGAAAAAGACTTCATATGTGTAACTGTGAGTGCCACAAGGGAGGGAGGATTTAAAAAAAATATTCAAGACAATAACAGCCAAGTCTTTCAAATCTGCCAAAAACTATGAACTTGCAACTACTTACTGGAGACTCAATGAACCCCAAGCAGGATAAACCAAAAATCTTACACCAAAATATAGTATAATCTCAAAAGCAACTCACACAAAAGAAGATACATCATATTCAAAGAAATAAACAATGAACTCAGATTTCTTATCAGAAATAATGCAGACCAAGAGACAAGAGCAGAAAGGGAAAAAAAAAAAAAAGTAAACTAGAGCACTCTCCAAAAATATTCTTCAGAGACGTTGGTAAAATAAAAACATTTTAGACTAATAAAAGCTGAAAAAAACGCCAGCAGATCTCTTCCACAGAAATGAAAAAGGAAGTTCTTTAGGTTAAAGGAGCGAGGTGTAGGGGTGCACACCTATACTCCCAGCACTCAGGAGGGAGGCTGAGGTAGGAGGATCTCTCTGCAAGTTCAAGGGCAGCCTGGGCTACATAGTGAGTTTAGGACCTGCTTAAACTACATGGCGAGACCCTGTCTCAAAATAATACTACTAATAAATATCGGGTGGAGA